TTCACCACATTAATCTTAAACAAACGTATAGGCTTTAAGACAGTGGTCGGCAACGCGTCAAAGCATCAATATTATTTTAGAAAAAATCAACAAACTTAAGCAGACCAATAAATTTAATATGCGCTAACAGAAATACTCGTATAGCGGGAAAACCATTTTACTGAGTAAATTTAGTCTTAACTTGATAGCGAAAATAACACGTTTCTTTTAGCAAGGGTAGCATTATTTTCATTCGCCAATTTGCTACTGTGTAATCGAATAAATGAAATAAACTATGAAAATTTTTATAAAAATTCTATGTATTTTATAAATTCTTAATTTAACTTGTATTTATATGGGAACATGCATTTCAGAAAACTTTTATTTAAATTTATAGTTCATTACTCTACTACCAGAAAGCGTTTAAACAAACAAAAATGAAAAACATATTCTTTTATTTTTCAAAAATCGATTTCTCCATTTAATATTAACAATTTCTTAAATGAATAAGTCCATTAATGGCCCTTTTAAATTTAATAATGAGAATATTTATTAAGTACTTTGTAATTTGCGTTAACCGCAAAACAAAAATTCATAAAATAATTTGAGTTTTCATTTTATCTTTACAACAAAACAACTATTAATGTATAGGTACTTTGTAAATAGTTTTTCCTTTTCATATAGGCATCATACCAAATTAAAACATCTATACGGATATTTTAACAAAATTATTTTGCGGTTTAAGAATTTTTTGTGAAATTATGAAATTTTACTATATAGTACTATGTACTATATGATATGTAGTGATAAGTAGTTATCAATCAAGATACTGTAATCTTCCCGACGTATTAATAAAATTTTTTGAAAAAACTAGTAATACTTGCGCGCATGTTTTATATAAATTACTATTACTTGTCCATGTATAACTAATAAAGGCAGCTTTTGTGTACTGTATCGTTATGGTATCAAAAATAATTTGTATAAAATATCTTCAAATATTTCGGCATTCATTTGATTTTATTCCGATATTAATTGTTAATACTTAATACAATTAAAGTACATAGGTAAGATACTTTTATAAGAGGAAACCCAAAATTTTATGAAGAAAATACAATTAGAAAATTCATTCTTGAATAAATTTTTGAGCTTGTGTTGAGCTGTTATCATTTTTCCAAGGTATTTTCGTATTAGTTGTTTGGATTTTTGATAAATCAAAACTTTAAAGTCTACAATTGTTGTAGCATTCGTTTTAGTTCAAGAAATTTCGGAACCTATCGAAAAATTTTGCTCATTTCTAATGAAATTAGGAATTTTTTTGAAAAGCTTTTCAATATTGCATTCTCTAATTTTAAATATTTAATTTCTCTCATACCACAACACTAGTCGTTAAGGTATTTAAAATGCTAATAAGATAAGTATGTATATATGCACGTACTTGTATATACAAAAAAAAAAAATGCTTCATAGAAAATGTTAAGTACCTTAAATGGACATGGTAATATACCTATAGCTTGTGGCAATATTAAATAAAAGAAAAATTTTTTTTGACGAAGCAAGAACAAAAAAAAAAAGAGAAAAAATTGTAAAAGCAAATAATTTTAGATTTGAACTTTCTTTTTTGTTGAAATCAAGAATAATCCTATAAGAAATGAATAAAAATAAAATTTTAAGTATTTATAAACAGTGCCTATGCATATTATACATATTTCACCTGAGGGAACGTAAATTACTGTGAAAAAAGTTTAAAAATTATATTAAGGTCAACTGATAAATATTATAAGATTTTAGTTTAACGTTTTTGTTTTTTTTGTTTTGTTTAAATATTTTGTAGAACAAAAGAAAATTCCTCTACGGTATAGAAATATAACAGTTAACAAGGCAAACAATTTGGATATTTTCATGAATATTTTAGAGTAGATTATTCATTTAAAATTTTTTCAATAAATAATAATAAGCGACAATATGTAATAATTGTTATTTTTGCTCAAAAACATTATAATTTTATTTAGTTGTAATCTCTGATTTAAAAACTTAATGAAAAACGCAAATATAATTGGAATACCAAATAATTATTTGAAGTATTTTTAATAATGCATTTAAAAGCCAAATAATCTGGGGTAGTTGGTTTGTTAACATGGCCGATACAGTAGGTGCACTGCACCCCCAATTAACTGTTTTGCTTCCATTACCGCGTGATCACAATTGCGAGATTGAGCCTACGATTACAGATGGAGTATTTAAGCCACCCGGTTCTCTTAAGAAATCTATCTGAATGATCGATTCTAATCCTCGATATCTCGTCCAACCCCGTTACTCATTCTCTGCTCATGTAACCCATTTGGCTCCGCCCAGAGTCAAAAGCTCGCATTGATAGTAAGAAGTGATCTCATTTTTGTACATTTCTTGGCAGCTGCCACACATTGTGTTAAAGAGCGGTGCCAGTCTGGCTGCATACTCCTCAAATAGGCAGTATTTTATGTAGATAATCTGCTTAACTTAATTGATTATTAGAATCGAATAATATGTTTAAAATTAATCGAATATTTTACACCTTTGAAAGCATATGTATGTGTTTGCATATGTACCTCAGTATAAAGGATTTTTTATAACATTCATTAGAAAAATATTAAATTAAAACATTAGGGTATTGCCACCTGAACTTTTTAAAAAATTTTACTATTAATTTCATATATATTTTTTTTATCATTTTTTTCCAAATAAAGTTCTACTGTTCCACGTATAAGAATAAAAAATGGACAAAATAAAATAACGAAAAGAATAAAAAATGTTATTTAAAATCCTACAAGAAAAGCCTACATATTTTCTGCTATATAATTTATCTATAAAAATAACACCATGGTGTGCAGTAAACAATAAAAATAACATTTTAAAGAATAATGTTTTTGAAAAATAAAATTGAAAATGTTATTCTGTTATAAGAATAATGAGTTTTAGAACATATTTCTTGACTAGACATCTTCCATATCGCACTATTCTTTCAGCTTTTTCTTTGACACTCACATAATTTAGTAAAGAATTTAAAATCACATGTAAAATTATTGCAAGAATTTTCACTTATTTAAAAGAATAAATTTTAAATCCTATCTGTAAAAATCTGGAATAATTCAAGAACTGCGGTAATATTTTAAATTATTGTAGAACAAATTTCGAATATACAAATTATTTTTCTCCTCAAATCTACATATTTAGAAATGCAAAATCACTTAATATTACATGTAAGTTCAAACAAAAATATTTAGAGGATATGGAAATTATCAGTTTATTACAAATATCATACTCTAATAATTTTGCTTTATGTGAAGCCAACATTTCAAAAAAATTTCAACATTGATTTCAGTAATTATTTTGTTATACTGTATAATTTATTATGTAACAAAAATTATTATGACAATAATATGATAATGAGCAATATTATGTGAACAATAATTTTCCATTATTTTTCAAAATTACATTCGGGCAATTAAGATAAATCTCAAAATATTTACACAATCCATAAAGTATATACAAATGTACTGCACATGCACACATAAACAAATGTACTAAATTTTATATTATCAACCTGTTGATATTAGAGTACCATTAAAATCAGTATTTTTTATTTCTTTTTAGATTATTAGGTATAAATATAGTGTAAAATCTATACACTTATTTTCTGCATTAATTATATATATACATACATACATAGTATAATTTGTATAAATTTCTTTCTTAACTTGAAATCCGGTATGAATAATTTTATGCATTTTTTTTTATTCACTTTTAATGCATAATTTTGTTGTCTATATTGGTACTTTTACATTTACATCGAAAATAATTTTTTACAAATACAATTAAAATAATTAAACAGATTTTTTATTTTTTCAATACAATTTAATTTTTTCAAAAAATTTACAAATAATAAAAAATATAGGAAAAAGATAGAAGAAAAAAAATACAAGTTTTGCCTACACATTACATGTGATTTGTACATAAAATGAAATTTTTTTTTTTGTATTCTCAATATAATGCAAGTTATTTCATAAAATACTATATATACCGTATAGTACACATATGTTTAAATAAATCTTTGTACTAATAATGTACATATATATTTATATTTTACCTGTTGCTTTTGTGTGTACATTCTTAGAATTAAAGCTTTAAATTATTTATTATTAATCATTCATTTTTGGTTTCGAATGTGTTATACAAATTTTTACTCAATATTTCAGGTTAAAAAACTATGAAGATTTAATTTTAATTTTTAGAAGGTGGAATGATATACACTGTAAAAAATTTCTATGGAAATTTACTACGAAAAATGTTGGCACCCGATTTGCCAACATTAACCATAGTAAAAATATAAGGCTGTTGTAATTTTGCAATTCATGATTAATTAAACATTTCAATTGTGTAAATCGTGCATTTTAAGGTGTAAAAAATACATTTGGAACAGTAATCTGTACAATTTCGAGTGTAAAAAGTACATTTGCAAATGTAATTTTTTACTGCTGATAAATGTGAAAATACTTTAAATGGTACTATTATTGCTAATGTGAAAGGGAGAAAATTACCTTTTGATGTTGTAATTTGTTTTTGTTGTAAAGAATTTAAAAGAAATCTATTGAACGGCGATATCCGTATTCATACTTCGTTTTTATTGTTTTAATAATAAATTAATACATTTTTAAACAATTTAAAATAAATTATAAATTTCATTTTAAACAAATACATATTACAAAAATTTACATTCATTTCAAGTTTTAACAAAACAGATATAAAAGATCCATTAACATAACTTTAAAGAATATAATATTATAATAACTAGCCTTTGAATTCACTTATGTATGTTGTGATTATTAAAAAAATTAGAAATTAAATCTAACTTAAATTTCAAATACAAAATAATGTATATATTATATATACTTATTCTGCAATAGATCTCAAAAAAGTTTGAAGCTTTGATTTATTCCGCATGTTTTTTCAGTGAACGACCAAATGTGTTTGAAATATCTATTAGATGTTGTAAACTCTGCAGAGTAAGACTGGCTTCTTTAGGATAACACATGTTAAAATTGAAAAAAAAATATTAAAATCATCTCCAAAGCATCTTCCAAACTTGGTGTCGTGTTACATTGTACTTTTTCAACGAATATATAGAAAACGGTTGAATCTGAATCCTTTTCTAAAATTAGAAGTAAAGTATGAATATGATATGAATGAAGTGTTATAATTATAAAAAAAATTTGTTATTTACTTATAGCTTACGTTATCTTTTAATAACAAAAATGTTTTGTCCATAAAATACTCCAGTGTTTCAGTTTCATCAACTTCCGTCCCATCTTCCTCTAATACTAATTTAGTTCCTTTAATTCCAAAATTATTTGCTAAAATTTAAATTTTTTTTAAAGAATTGATTACCTTCTATTTTATTATTTTACCTTTTTCTGTTACAGATTGTATATTTATTTCTGACATAAAACATTTTTTTATTGACCGTAAGTGGTACCAAATTTTAAAAATTTTTTTCGGCATCTAAGTATATAAAAATAAAAAATCAAAATAAAAAAATTAACTTTTACTTCCACAAATTTATTTAATTTTTAAGCATATACCTGTAATAACTGCTACAACAAATAGGGCACACTTTGTTGTATAAAAGCGTAAATTACGTTTTCAGTTTTGCAGAACTTTATAGGAAACGGAGTTAATAAATTTGAATATTTTATCAGTCTTGGCTCAATAAGTATTTCTTCAACGACATATATGTACGCCTTTGGTGTGTTCTAATTGAATGTCATAAATACATATTTCCATAAAATGCAATTTCTGTATACGTTTCATTTAAAAGTATCGTACTAATTTATTCCTAAAAATACTTTTTTCAATTTACTTAATTTATGTATTTTATAATAATTAATACCGCTTACAATTTTTTTAAGATATATTTAAGTTTTGTAATTTTAAACACTTATGAATTTTCGCGAATTATTATTGATTGTAACTTCACTCACTAAAATTTTTTTTTAAACTAATTTGACAAACAAAATTTTTGACACATACATGTATGTATGTATAAACATGCATCGGCTGTTTTTTTTAAATAACATTAAGCACGTACACATACCCTGCATTTTACGTCGGTGGAACAATTCAAAAAAATTCCGTCCAGAAAAATTCAAATAAATCTCGCATTAAAACAAAATTTAAAAAAAAAATTTATCAATGAAAAATCTCCTTTTGCAATAATTAACGTAAAATAATTAATATATTTTACAAAAACTAAACCTAACATACATAAATTTATATAACGTAATTCTGGGGATACTTGTACGTCAAGTTAAAATATTTGGCATGAAAAAAGTAGGTATATTAATGTATAATAGCTACAACGAAGAAGAAAAAAATCAAGTTTTTGCATGTTTTATAGAAAAGCCGTTATAAGTATTCTATTCACTAGCATTAATACATCCAAATTATTTGAATTTTAATGGCTAATAATGTACTGTCACATACTTCTTGTGTACTCTTCCATTCTGGACTGTAGTTTTTTACTATTTTAATGTAATAATTTACATTAATCGAAGCAATATACAGAAAAATCCGTAATATTGCATTAAGAACGTAAAATTACTCGCCGAAAACAAGGTTTTTGGGATTTTTACTTAATAAATCGTTGTGAGTACTATGAATAATGTTGTAGGAAAAATTGTGTAAAATTACATAAATTTTTTACTGTGTATATATAAATATTATATATACATATATATATTACAATTTCAGTTGATATATATTGTACTTAAATTGATCTTTGTCTTACATATATGAGTCTAAAATATATATACCTTGTATCTTGTTTATTTAAAAGAGAACATGCCATTAATTCATAAAATATTTTTAATTTATTCAATTCATTCATAAATGCAATTATCTATATATATATGTACATATATAAAGCAAACAGATTGCTATTATATATTGCAAAATATCGAATTTATGAATGAATTAAGAACTTTTAAGCAAATCGGATTTTTCTTAAGAAAATTAAAGTTTTTATTAAAAATGGTTTATTTTAAAATTCTTTTCAATTAAATTCAATTGAACTAGATTAAAAGTAATTAACGCCAGCACGTAAATTTTATTTAATTATATATATTGTACATTATATAATAATTTCCTTCCTTCCGATTTTTTTTTTTTCAAAATATATGTGGTCTTATATACAATACTTGAGGCTATTAAAATTTTATGAATGAAAATTTAGCGTAAAATTACAAATACCCTCAAACAACGTTTTTTCTTTAAAAAACCAATTTAATTTAAATATATGCCTTTTATGACATAAGGTGATTTTTCATAGTAAAATGAAATGTACTTTAGCATGTCAAATAATTAATGTTAAAATAACATTAAAATAAAGTCATCGTTATAACTACAAAATCAACCTACTATAAATAATAAATAAAAATAGAAAAAATAAAAAAAAATAATGAAATTTGGTTGACGTTAATCTAATATGTAAAACATTTTTTTTTTTTTTGCTTTTTTTTTTTTTTGTTTGAAAAATGGTTACTAAATAGTTATTTCTGAGAAAAAAAGATTTTAAATATTTATCTTAAAAATAAAATTTATATTTCTAATGAATTCAAACAATTTCTTGGAACGTGCCAATGATTTCATTTTAATTTTATAATAAAATAAGTTATAGAAATATTTTCTATAATTTAGTACAAAAACAATTTCATAGAGATTATTATTTACTATTAAGTTCGACAAAAACTTTAGTAAATTCAGTTCATTTTAGTACAAATACAATTGAATTCTAAGTACAATAATATTTATATTGTGAAGACAAATATTAAATATGTAGATTATTTCAAACATATTTTATGAAAAAGGAGTGTGTATGATGCAATTGTTCTGTGAACCAAGACTTGGTCAACATGTTGAAAATTTTACAATTAGAATTTCAATTTCTCTCCGTAAGTCTTTGAGTTTATACGAAACAGAATTTATATATATATACATATGTTTATATAACTGAAATATAGAGGTCTCAATATATTGAATAGTTCAGAAATCAAAACTGTACATACATACATATGACTTGAATTTTTAAAATAACAGTATAACAATTAAAATATAAAAAAGTAACCAAAAATAATAGTACATAAATTTAATTAAAATTTTTCTTTTTTCATTACAGGTGAGTTATCAACTTATCGTTAAAAGCTGCAATCAAATTATTAAAAACCTAAGAATATAAATAAGTATAACAGTTTGTATTATTTTTATATAGTTTAAAACTTTTTTTGTAAATTCTTTAATATTTCAAAATTTTTTGTCTTGTTTTTCTTTGTCAGTGGAATTGAATGAACTATAAATAAATATACTACATATTACGCATTATAAACTGTTATACAGTCAAAAGAATATTCTATGGCACTTAAATATATATATATATATTAAAATCAAATATAATTTATTATTCAAAATTATTAAAACGCCTCTTATAAATGATTAAACACATCAGTCATTCAATCACAGTTAATAAATAAATAAAACAAAAAAAAAAAATTTGTTATATACAATGTATATATTTGTTTATTCATATAACAAAAATAATTCAATGGAATTATGAACCTACAAAAATATTAAAATAAAAAAGTAAAACCAGTTATAAATTAAACTTTTATCGAAAATTATTGGGTGAAAACAAAATAGCTAAAAAAAAAAAATCAAGGCACACAATTCAGACGCCTACAATTTCTATATAAAAATATACCAAAAAAAAAAATACAAAGCTTCAAGACGAAATCAAATCTTCCAAAATTCAATTCAAATAGAAGTTACGTTAATCTAATGCCAAAAAAAAAAAATGTAAAAGAGAAGAAAACTAAGCCGTCACAAAATTTTAAGAAATAGTGAATTTTATACAAAAAAAAAAAAAAAACAGCGAAAATAATTTTTTTTTTTTGTTCATTCACTTACTACTTTTTTATTAATCAAATTCAAATGAACTTCCAATATATTTTAATGCTATAAGAATAATATGAAGAGGATGCATTAACAACAGCAACAGCCCACTGTTAAAGGCTTTTCATTATTCTTCTTTTCTTTTCTTTTAACTTTTATCACAATTTTTTCATTGCCTTTTCTTATTCTTATTTTGTTTACAAGAAACTACAATAACAATATAACAATTGCTATGTTGTTTACTGTCGTCACAGCAAAACATTGTTATTGTTTTGCTGTTTTTAATTCAATATTCTGTATAACAATACATATTTTTTCAATATATGTACTATGTAATGTAAACACAAACCCTTGCAATGACTTTCAATGCAAGAACATTTGTGGCAACCTATTTACATAAATATTTTCCTGCATTTTGTATGTTAATACATATATATGTATAAGTAAAAGATGCATTGACAGTTTGATTTACTATTATAGTGTTGGTTTTAAAATGCACAGTAGCCTTATAATCTTGTAATCGATAATAATAAACAAATTTTAAAGTCAAAGATTAAATGTTTTTTTATTCAATTGGAATATTGAAATTATGAAAAATGTGAAAACGATGTACGTCATAATGTGGTTACAAAATGTGTATACTTAATAGAAAAATTTTGTAATGGGAGACATAACGAAACTATTATGAATATTGCGATAATATTCATTTTATCTTTAGCCTATATTTCTAGATTCATTTTAACATTAGCATTTAGTTATTTTCAGTTATACAAAACAAAATTACTGTAAAATATCAAGCATGGAGGTATTATTTTTGTTGTTACTCCTAAAGGTATGCTATAAAATTTGTAAATTTTTTGAAAGAACCTAAACCTCCATGCTCATTTTTTTCTAAAGAATGAACTCCATCATATATTTAGTTGCAATTAAGAAATCTATTTGCTGTTAAAAATAACCAAATATTAATTTCCATTATCCCGTCGACAATATAACGTTGGACTATAAAACTGTAGTAGCTAAGAGAGGGAAAATTCTGGATGTACTCTAGCTAAGAAAGAGAAAATATTCTAATCATATCAATCTGTAATAGTTATGTTTAACTTATTTACTAAAAAAAATAATTGAAAAAAAAAACAAATATCTTCGAATTGCTTAAGATTTTCAGTGATATGGTTCATGTTTTTGCAATCGTTAAACCTTTACTCGAAAAACCAGAAGTTAAACACAAGTTAAATTTTTACTATAATTTTTTCATATCAGAGACTAATTTTGAGCACAATATCAATTTGTTCGTAAAATTTCCAATTACATTTCTTTATATTAGATTGTTCCGTAACCAACATTTAATAAAATTATTCAATAATATGAACTTTTCTATTATATAAATTATTTTTGTTATTGTATATTAGTTTTACATAAAATTTTAACAGAAAATATTTTCTTTTATTTGGTAATAATTGCCATTATAGTTGAAAGACACAATATAGGCAAAAGAAAAAATTAAAGAAATCGAATTAAAAGTGTTATACATATAAACCTAAATTTCAATTTTTCAAAATTTTAAGGAGGGATATTGTATTTCAACTGTTAATATTATACTAAATTATAAAAATGTAATTACAATAGAATAAACCGAAGTAAATCCAAATAAATTTTCATTTTTTTTGCTACTTGCGATTATTTTTTTGTATAATCACTTATGTCCGTGTTTATATTCATGTATGTATAACGTGTGTCTAATAATAAATAACTTTACATTAAATTATGAATTAATAATCATTATCATTCCAATGTTATGGATAAAACGATACTATTATAACATTTTCAAATGTATAATAAATAATAGCAATATTTCGAAAATAAAAACACTCCTATATACTATTATAACACTCTATCAAAATGAAAAGTCGCACTGGATTCAAATATCAAATGTGTATTTAGAAAAGAAAATACAATATGAAAAAATTGCAAAAATTATATTTGACACAAAATCTACCAAAAAAATAACTTATGTGTATATTTTATGAGTATAATAGTTATTAAACATTATATCTGTTACTACTCCATAAAATATTAAAAATACAAGAGAAATAATAATGATAACGCGAATATAAGAGAAAAAAATATAAAAGGCTAACAAAATATTAACATAATAATAATTTAAATAGAGAAAAAAAAAATAAAATCTGTCACAATTT